TGTGGCCACAGCAAGCCTGGGATCCTCATCCATTACAGTGCTATTACCATCACTCATGCTCACAGCTGTTCAAATGGATGCGCACAGCTTGGGAAGAGGATCAGGGTCCAGATTCCTGGGCTCATTAGAAAGAAGCAGGGCCTAAGAAGGAGAAGTGGGGTGCTTTTAAGGCATGGTCAGTTCAAGAATGTATCTGAGGAGCTTTGGCAACCCAAGTAAATCGTTTTTGTTTGGGGGAAATTAAATCTTTGCATTCTAAGCAAAGACTAATAATGTTGGTGCTTACTTGGTTTGGTGAAACAGCATCCTCCTCCCTTACCTCCTGTGCCACCACATCCCAAAGGACCCTTTTAACAGCCATCTCCTGATTTCTAAAATGGGTCTCTGACCCAAATGAGAGTAATAGCAGAAGATATCTGAGTTCTCTTTCAGGTGATGGAGTCTCATGTCTAGGGTAGAAATAATTTGAATCAGTGTTCTCAAAACTAGCCCATGGTTTTGTTACCTTCAGGAGTCCTTTGAAGAACTGGAATCTGTTATTTAGCTCCAGCTAAGCTGACTTGGCAACTTCCTTTTCCGAGCACTCCACCTGTTCCATTACCCAACATAACTAGTCTACTTATTTGTGGAGGGCAACCAATGTGATATAAAGAATTAGGAGGAGCCAAGATCTCATCACCTTAATATATCACAGGGTGTCTTTGTGCTATGAATTTCTAGTCCATAAACCTAGAAAGATAGGGTTGAATTTATAAAGGAATATTCCAGAGGGAATCTCAAACTTTGCACTGGTAAGGGGGCGGATTTCAGTGTTCTGCATACTTCTCTTCCTCCCCGTTTGCTGTAAACCAAATGTATTATACAGTATAAACATGTGTTCAAAATCTGCATAATTGCAGTGCACAAATTGTTGCACTGAATTTCCATAATCCAAGTTACTCATATTACTGTTTTCTCAGCACAGAGTTTTTAAGCATTTTATTTAAAATGGAATGTGTATAGCAGGGTGGATTGATTTAAATCACACTTTAACTCATGTTTTAGGTCATCCAAGAGAAAACCTGATTTAAATGTCTGATTTAAATTAAATTTGCCATTGGTTGTTCTTCGCCTTTCTCAAATGTGATAACTGAATTGTGTTAGTTGACAACCCAGTATTGTATTTTAGAGTCTACTGTAAACCATATGTAGTACACAAAATAAATGGTGTTCTGGAATCTGTGTTTATCAGCATTAAGGTGCAGATATTGCTGCAATCTGTCAGGAATGTCAATTCTGCTCTGCTTTTTTTTAACTTTATTTCCGATGATACAATGAGCTGGAGTTTGCCAGCACTCTCTGATCGCTTTTGCTGGCGCCTTGCGCTTGTGGCTGACAAACCACACCCTGTGTTTTGTTCTCTCGCTGTTCGAGGAAGGGAGATTTTGCTGCTTTCACAAATTTGGGTAACACTAATAAATTGTAGATAGGGTCATCTGTGGTTTGTTAGCCACACCTGTTGGAGGCAGGAGCTAGTGGGAGCATTATGGGCTTGTATGTTCCTTAGTTTATGTAAACTGGGATTCTAGAGGATTGTTGTCATTTGAATGCTTAACTAGCTTACCTAACTCCTTAACTGACTCCTTTGCTATCCTACACCCAGCTCCATAAGCATTCAGTAACAGCCATCTTATCCAACCTATATCTCTACCTTTTTCAGTCAGAGATATGGTGACTGAAAGCCCCAAACATTTAAGCAGGGGATCTAGCTGGCTCAACTAGAGCTATTTTTTTGAGAGGAAAATTGACATGAATGAGATTAGTGACCCAGTAGGATCATTTGCTGTAATGTGTAACATATACAACTATGCTATAATGTGGTTTGTTTTGGCCATGATGTATAATCCAGCCATTCTGGAATAGCATTATATGCTGATTAGGTCAGCTAAAGTGTGAATGTACTAGCTTTAGCATGCTTGTAATAAGATATAGTTATCACTTATTTTTGAACCCCCCCAAAAAAGAAAATCAAGTATTTTTAATCAGTTGTTTAATATTTATTTTTCTCTATCGTATAGCTTGGCTAGGGGTACCAGAGCTGGGCTGCAAAAATCCAGATTTATATTTATTTATATTTCAAATTTAGTCACCGCTCATCTCACTTAAACAACTCTGGGTGGTTTACAGGAAATGGCTGCAGAGATACACAGAAAACTATACTCTTTTGCTATCATCTAATGATCATCTGGATCTTTGCAGCCTGGATCTGGGAACCCTAGCATGATTTGTGTTTGTATAAAGTGTCAGTTTCAAAGTTTGGCATCTCTGCCTGTGGCATGGCTCAGACTGACCCTAGAGAAATAGGTATGAGAACAACAGCACTTTGGAAATGGGAGAATGGGCAAAATGCATGACCCTCCATTGTCCAATGGCTGTTGCACTTATTCCTCACCTCTGGCTGTGTTGGCCAAGACTGATGTGTTCAGCACACTTCTGCCCATGTTCTTGGGGAGTAGCTGTAAATCAGAGAGCACCAAAAAGGGCATGATGGACTAATATTTTAATGGATACAAAGCAATCAACTGAACCTCGAAAGAGCCCTGAGACTTTTTCTCTAACTGCCTTCTAAGAGGATCCCAGAGTTCAACTTGTCCATTCCCCTTGCTTCAGCATCCCTGATTTTTCTGTTTTTGAAGAATGTCTCATCTTCTATGGCTCTTTGATATACATCCACGTGGTATTTTTTATTGCTTCAATCGGTTTTATTTTGCATGGGTTTGACTGCAAATCCAAAGCCTGTTATTAAAGGCAGATGAAACCGAGCAAAAACAGCTGCCTTCAGTTCTGATGTCTTTTGTGCCTGAAAGCAGAAAAGTAGCACAGCTGCATGTTCCTGGCATTGGAAGAGACATCAAAGATTTACTGTCCAATTTTCTTCCTTCTCCTTCTCCTTCTCCCTCTCACTCTCCACCCCCCTCCAAGTTTTGGTAGATGCTGCAGATCTGTGATTATTTTTTGACATATATGCCATCTTGCAGCACATTGGTGTTGGGTGGGGAAGGGGCCCTCTGAGAATGAACACTTAAAAAAAAAAAAATCGCAGGCTATACCTTTGCATATAATATCAAACTATGGCCTTCCATCTAAATAAAAAAAGCCCTTCATATGCTTTTTCTGCCTTCTCCCCTCACTTGTTCAGACTGAAGTACTTCTTCCTCTTTGCCACAAACCAGAGTTTGCCTTTTCATCCAAACCATAGCTATCTCAGTCAAAGTGCAGCCTTCCTAGATGTTATGCCTGAACCAAGTCAGATCAATCTATGTGATCTATCTATGTGGTTCGCTAGGAGTTGAAAATAACTTGATGGCACGTAATCAGTCAAGTCAGATCAAACATGTTTTGCTGTTAAAACCAAATCAGTGGGCTGGACTTTGCAGCAATGCTTGAAACCATGACTTATTGTCTTGATTTCAAGAAAAAAACATCAAAGGTTTTCTTTCTGATGATGTTCAAGAAGCTATTAAAGCCTCCCAGGCTTTGGGGCAGGGTGAAGGTTAAGCCTCTGCTGGATGGGGTTTTTTTCTGGTTATATGTTGTCTTTGGGCTGCTCATTATCTCCTTTTTGTCTTAACTTTTTAATTGTAAGCTGCTAGAGTCATTGGCAAATGGATGGCCTATAAATTGTATAAATAAGTAAATAGTTTTGCTCTGTTGGGTTTTGGGTCGAACATAGCATTGCATGATATAGCCTTCCCATGGAAACTAAGTGACGGTATCTGCTGTCTATCCACTCACATCTTAGCTCTGGAAATAAAGTGTAAGTTTTCTTTTCCAGCACCATCCAGGTGGCTTGAGGTTGCAAATGCCAGATTTGGTTGAAGAAAGCTGTTCTAGCCCCTTATGACTAGAGGGCAGAGCAAGAGGGTGTGCTGTGAGCCTTTGGAAAGGGAGAAGAATCTTCAGGTGTCCAAATTAAGTTTGGAGTAGCCTTCAGATCTGGGATAAGCCCTCTGTTTGCATATGCCCATGATCCTCTTTAAAAAAAAAAATCTGCATCTGCAAATTTGGATGGTGGCAGTAGTTTCAATGGCAACTTCCTTTCCCCTGTAAGTGCAAGCTGTGCCTCAGTAGTGCAGATGTTCCCAATCTGATGTTTTCAGATGCCCTTCAGACTTTCTGTAGGAATATGGAAATTATCATCTAATTCATCTGGAGGTCCCAGGTAACCTTCAACCTCCAAGTCTCCTCGCCTCAACAGTATTGGTTCCAGGTTTGGTTTCTGGTCTACTAGTTGAGCTTAGAGCAGGGATGGGAGACTGGTAGTCCTTTTGTTGCTAAGCAACAGTCCTAGTATATCTCTCCTTTGGACATTCTGGCCAGGACTGGTAGGGGTTGTTCAGAAATCTCTGGAGGACCACAGAGTTGCCATCTCTTGGTTAGATTACCTTCCCAAGGCTCTTACCCAATAACCAGGATGTTTCATTCCCATCCTCATTAGAAGCCTGTGCATTCTTTGCTCAAAACATTTTGTGCCAGAGATTTTGTTCTGTGGTCTACCTGTGTAGTTGTGCCCTAGCCACAATCCTCTTATTACTTGAAAATGTTCTTGTTGTTTATATTATATCTGTTTCCCTGTCAAATGTACTCTCCCCCCCTCCCATGTTGGTATAACATTTTCAGTCACCAGCTGCACTCAAAGCAAGACAAATACTACAAAATTCCCAGGAACTTTGGTTTTTCAGTCCTATTCTGTAGTGTAAAATATGTTTCATGTTTACAGTGTTCTGTTTTCCTGTTAAGGGTTGCCATTTTAACCGTTGTCCACCTTGCATGACCCAAACAATGCAGTGCTACAATGAGGTATGTGTCTGTGGCACTGGGAAAGGAATGGAGGATGATGAATTGGATGAGAGTAACTTGGAATTGTCCTTTCTCCTAAGGGAGGTGAAGTCCTTTGTGTTACAAATGAGAAAAAAGATGGGGTTGGATTTGCTTTATAATGAGTCTTCTGATTCTTCCAGGCCTGCATTGATGAAAACATGGAGGTGGTTGAATTTCTGGTGGAAAATGGAGCTGATGTGAATCAGGCGGACAATGAGGGCTGGACTCCGCTGCATGTTGCTGCTTCCTGTGGCTACATTGAGATTGCACAGTGAGTTTGGGCTGGGTGAGGGTTTATGTATTCTTTTGCCTAAAGTTACTAGAAGAACAGATCTCTCAGCCAGCCTTACAGTTCTTCTTGATGCGGGTGATCCTTTCTCACCCTCCACTTGGTAATTGAACCAGATCAGGCAGCTGCCATAGTATTGTGTTGAGAAACTCCGAGAGATGCTCTGCCTGCTAATCATATTTGGTACATTTCACACTCAGTGAAAGATACTGGATACATTTGGAGGGATTTAACCTTGGGCCATCTTGTTTAAAGAGGAAGGTCCTGGCTGCATTTGGTGTGGGAGCTTGCAGGCCAAGGAAACTTGTAAAGTTTGGCTGTATCTTGAGTTTCAACTTCAGTGAAATGGGAGGGAGAGTTTGCCTGAGAAGATGAGTCAGTAGGTAGGTTTTCAAGATTACAGTGTTTGAACTTTGTACTTGGCACCCGAGCAGATTAGGTTATCCAAATTCAGTTTTGCAGGAAGCAGGGTACCACAGTCACCTTAGATGGCCCTTTTTGCTAGATTGTAGCGATAGTAGGCCTGATGTGGGGCCTGGTGGCCCATGGATCTGACTGGGCTTAACTGTCTGGCCCAGATACCTCTTGGACCACGGTGCCAACATTGCTGCGGTGAATAGTGATGGGGACGTGCCATTGGACATTGCTGAGGCTGACAACATGGAGGCCTTGCTGCGAGCAGAAATTGGGAAACGAGGTAAGGCGCAAGCAGCCACAACAAATGCAGCTCTGCTTCCTCTAATGTCTCTCCAGCCAATTCTTCAACTTGCAACATTCCCCATACTCAGTTGGTATTGGTGCTATGGAAAGATGGCAGCCATTTGAAATTTTCACCATTAAAAAAAAAAAAAATCAGTGGCTTTGTTTAAGTTACCTGGCTGTAAAAATTAATCTGTCAGATTCTTTTAAATTTATATATATACCTGCATATAGAGAGAAAACAGAAACAGGCTAACTTTGGACACAGCCTTCCCTCTTCAGAGCTGCATTGTTGTTGCTGCTGATTATATTGTTTCCCGAAATTATCAGCATGAATTCTTTCTGTATGTGTGTAATGCAATGTCCATTTTGCATTTGAATCCAATGACTATTAAGAGCTTTGTTGCACACGTGCATAATAAAACTGTGGAGCTACGTCACAGAATATGTGCTTGGCCTATCTTTTCTACCTTCTTCAGCAGGCTATACATTGAGAAGCCTTTTCTCAAATCAGGGATGGGATTCAAGCTCTTTTTTTGAGATGGAAAGAAAAGTTCCAAAGATTCAGCTGTGATTTCATAAAGAAAAGTGTGTGTGCGTGCATGTATTTCTTCTGCTTTATGATGTGGGCACAGCCATTCAGAATTTTACAGCCCCAGGTTCTCTTCTTCTTCCTGTGACCATTTCCTTTGCTTTCAGGGGTAGATGTAGAGGTAGCCAAGCGAGAGGAGGAGGAAGTGATGCTTCGTGATGCTCGTCATTGGCTGAATGCTGGCAAAATATCTGATGAGCCTCACCCCAAAACTGGGGCCACTGCCCTCCATGTGGCAGCTGCCAAAGGCTACGTTGAGGTCATGAGGTGAGAGCCTCCCATTTCCTGAGCAACTCAATCTGAGGTTAACCTTACAACAACCAGCATCTTTCCTTTGGGTGGGTAATTGCTTTTTGGAGCAGGAAATAAGGGTCTTTTCTGCCTTTTCCAAGTTTCGTTTGGAGGGACAGAAGCACAATTCATCAGATCCCCTAGCCCTCTCTTCCCCCCTTCTGCCTCCACCCTGTGTCTGGCAATTCAGAGTGAACGAGCAGGGTTGTGGGGGACTGGTTTGCTGACCCCATCCACTTTGCCAAACATCCTCCAAGCCTAGGTGGGGCTTATGGAAAAATGTAAGCCAAGCAGATGTCAGTCCTCACCAGCCATCTCTCAGCCGCTCCAAGGAAAAAGGAAAATCAAGGCATCCTGGCTCTCAGCTCTTTTGCTTTAACCCTGGGATTCCTCTTTTCAAAAGAAAAAAAAGGGGGGGGAGTTCCAGTAAATCCCACTCATCGCTTTCCTCTACTCCTTTTTCTTTAGGGAACCACGTGGGGTCTTAACTCCCACCCTTACCTGGCTTTTTCTTTACTGACCATGCTTGTTGCTCAAAAAATCCTACCGCAGCTCAAAAGTATGGATGTTTCTTGGTTGGAATCTGCTCCTAACTCACTGTGGGTAACTTGGAAACCTGAATCCTGGTCTCCCTTGGACCTATTATTTCTAGACTCCTCTCTCTCCAGATAGACTCTGACGTGCCACATTTGTCCTGTTACAACCCAGCTCTGCTCTTGCAGGAACAAGGGAGCCCCAGGTGCCCTCACCCTGCCTTGCTTTGCTCTGTTGCAGGTTGCTCTTACAAGCCGGCTATGACACCAATGTGCAGGACAAAGACGGCTGGGCACCCCTACATGCAGCAGCTCACTGGGGAGTGGAGGAGGCTTGCCGGCTTTTGGCTGAGCACTTCTGTGATATGGAGGCACTTAACAATGTGGTAAGAGACCAGGAGGCTGGTTAAGGGGCAGGTAGAGGGTTATTAAAGAATTGCATCTCCTGTGGGAAGGAAACCCATGGCCCAAGAGACAAATGGGGAGCTCTCTTTTCATTGCCAGCGCATGTTCAGGTGGAGGCCAGACTCTGTCTGGGATGTTTTAATTTGGATTCCTGCATGGAGCAGGGTGTTGGATTTGATGGACTCCCTGTCCTCTTCCAGCTCTATGACTCTGTTCTACCTGAGACCAGGGAGCAAAACGTATTCCAGGGAGCTGGAATAAAGAGACATGTGGGACTAGATAGATTTGTGGCTTAGCATAAGACAGGTTCCCCTTCTCAGAATTATCTGTGTTGGGTAGGAAAGACATTACCAAGGGAAGGGAAAATAGGTTGCCGCTCTGTCTGTCTTACATCCTGCTGTATTTTACAAGACTCACTGGGGTTTACAAAATACCATAAAACAGAAACATTACCAGGTATATATAGAAAAAACAATTAATCCATTAATTGATCAATATGAATTGATCAATATGAATTCATCAATATGAACTGGAGTGCAACAGAAGCAACAGTTTTAATAGCTCTGGTAGGTACATCAGGTGTTCACTGTAGAAGAGGCATTTCTCTTGAGAGAGTTGAAAGGAGACTGTCCCTTTACAAATGCTGCTTGCCACCTGTAGATTATACATCCAAGTTAGTTATGAGACAATAGCACTGCTGCCTCATTGGGATGGTTCTTTAGGCTTCTGGCAGGCCCACTCACCCCAGTGAACATGAAGTGTGCTAACACAGAGCCTCTGCAACTTTCCCACACTCCTGGAAGAACAGAAAGCAAGGGGGTGGTTGCAGGGAATATAGTCAGCTGTCCCATTTCCCTTCCCCATTTTGTTTTTAAATATAGTCCTTTCTAATGGGACCAATAGAGGGGAATCAATCACTGCCAGTTCTGGGCAGGAAATGTGTTGGATGATAGGTGGCCTTTGGATCCCTGGCCCCTCCCTGGCCTGCCTTCTTTTGGCCCTTTCCAGAGGAAAAGAATGGCTTTATTCTGCCTGATTAATCAGCTGAAAGTTGCAGAGAGTAGAAAATTCAAAGGAGTCAGGGAGGTGTGGGATGGAAAATCTGAAATTGATAACTGGAGTCTCACATACACGCTCAACTATCTTGCAGAAATTCATTGGAGGAAGCATGGAGACCTGCAACTACACTGGGTTGAAGTAGAGTGGTAATGGCGTCTGGCAAAGGAGAATGTCCTGGAGAGGCCATAAATTTACCTTCTCTCTCTTGCTTATGCTCTCTCCTGTTCTCATTTTTTAAAAACCTTTGGGCTTCATGCTGCACCCAGGACTCCTTTTTTTCAGAGGCCAGGACACCCCTAGAGGGAGCTTTTTATGTTCGGGGAAGAGATGAAGGATCAAAACGAGAGCTGTAAGCCATTCATTCCATCCCTTTAAAATTCCTACCCAACATCCCAAATTGGTCCAAATTTTCTCATTTTGGGATGGGCAAAGCTTAATAAGGCACTCATTTCATTTGTGAATCCCCCAACCCACAAGAGACTGAACATTTCACTCCACACACACACACACAAATGGCCTCCCCCTAAGCTAAGCTGGCTTGTTGCTTCTCCACTTAAAACTGCAGTGGCTGGAAGCTAGCAGATAGGAATGCTCTGAAGATTAGACCAGTCTTTGGTGTAGCCTTCTTCCTTAGGTGCAGAAGTTTGAAGGCGTTGCAGTTGGCCGATGGAGTTTTGAGTCAGTTGTGCTGGGGCTCCTCTTGGCCCGTTTATTTTCTTTCTTTTCCTCCACAGGGCCAGCGTCCCTGCGATCTTGCAGATGAAGATACTTTGGCGCTGCTTGAAGAGCTGCAGCACAAACAAAATGATGTGAGTGATGTATTTTTTGGCCAATTCCATTTGTGTCATGGATGGAAAAGGGTATTTGTGATAGACTTCTGCATTTATGCAGAAGGCTTCTAGCATCTGAAGCTCGTGCTTGGGCCACTTCCTGTGTGGGATTCTGCAGAATTTGGGACTTTTTAGGAGAGAAGGCCCCTGTGGGAAATCTTGCAGAACGTAGTTTGGGGGCTGGGTTGAGAAGATTCTCCTTGTGGGCTTTCCCCTAAGGGCTTAATAGGAGTAGTACCCTTTCTTACAGTCACTGACCAGAATTCTCTGACTGAACACAATAATTAGAATAATTAAATAGTTTCCATTTCAGATAAAATAAAAACAACACAAAAACATAACTAGATCATTGAGGCAGTCACGACATGTCTGGTTTTACAGACAGTATAACAAAATTTAGCCACATTCCAAGAAACGAAATTGTACTTCTACTTTTCAACATCTAGATGAAGCCACTGGAAGAATTCTCCCATCAGTGTGGATCAGAGATCTGTTTTTCAGTTCCAGTGGTTAATTCTGGACAGGAAGACCCTATCCACAAAGGCCCAAGGCTTTAGTGTGGGTGTGGGGGTATCTCATTGCCCCACTGCTGTTGCTCCATTGACAGGAAGGCCATGACCAGGGAGTTTTGCCCAGCTTTCACTGGTGTGGCAGTAACATCCCTACCTTGATTGGGAGGAACTGGTAAAGGTAACTTGCACTCTTTTCACTACACATCTAGTCTTCTACAATGTGGTTTGCATGGGACTGCCTTTGAAGACCACTTGGAAACTGCCCTTTGCTGGCAGGTAAGAACTGCCACAGTCATGTAACATTGGTGCTGCGTTGGCTTGGCTGTCAAGACCATCTTTTCCAGCTAGAATTGACCCAGCCTGTATGTGTGTTCTCAGAGAATCTGTTAGTGATTCCACACTTTTGTAATATGAGGAGGCTGGGGCCCAGAAACAGCATTTTTTTCAGTGATGGCATTTCCTTCCAGAAGCTAGATTAGCTCCCACCCTAATAATATTCCTGAAATGTGTTAAAACAGCTTTTCTGGATAGCACTTGGGGAATAGCTGGAATGGCTTAATCCAGTATTTCTCAACCTTGGCAACTTTTAAGATGCGTGGACTTCAACTCCCAGAATTCCCCAGCCAGCCTTGCTTAGTCTGTTTTTATTTGATTGCTCCAGCTTCTATTGTTGTTGTTGCATTTGTGTTTCTTTTGGATCTTTTATGCTCATTGTTAACTGCCAGGAGTCCTTAGGGATTTATGGGTTATAATAGCTCCACAACAAATAAATGCAGCTTTGGATCAGAAATATAAGTTTTTCTGTGATAGCCCCTCATTTGTGGAATTCAGTTTTGAAGAACTGTTTTAGCTACTTTTATTTACAGTAATGCATTTTAAATTTCATACACCATATATGCTTCCTGATTCAATTTATCCTAATTATGGTCTAATTTTAGGGATTCCTTAAGATAGTCTTGTGATTTTTATGTTTTTATGTAAGCTTCTTTACAAAGACTTTTGGACCTGAAAATATACGTAAGATATGATAAACCCTTGAGGGGGATGGAGGGAGATCAGGTCTGGTCTGGTCATCTGTACTCACTAATCCAGTGTTTCTCAACGTCAGCAACTTTAAGATGTATGGACTTCAGCTCCCAGAATTCCCTAACTAGCCATGCTGGCTGGGGAATTCTGGGAGCTGAAGTCCATACATCTTAAAAGTTGCTGACGTTGAGAAACACTGCACTAATCTAACAGGTCAGATGGTACCATACCAAAGTTGCCTGTACAGAAGATGTTGTGTTTTGTGTTGTCCTGTGATTCCAAAACATTGTCAGTTGGTGCCTTGCCTGATGAGATTTAGGCATTAACTTAAGATTTTTTTTATTTGGCCTGTGCATTAATATTTAATTATCATTTACTGCTTTTTGAGCTTTTCTTTATCAGGATTGCTGCTTAACTACTGCTGCTATTTTTTTTTAAATTGTGTTTTAGTTAAATTTGACAATCATTATGTATCACTGAGACTTTAATCTTATTTTTTAAAAGTCAGCTGTTTAAGCTTTCCTGTGCCAGTGTGTACTTTGCCTAAACATAACATAATCCACTACTAAGAAAAGCTAATTTGGGGAGTGTGTGTATTGCACAAATCAGACAACCAGGAAGCCTGCATTTGCTTTATGTAACAGTTTTGGCTACTCAGTGGATGTAGGTGAACACTTTTATCATCCCAGTGCATTTTTCTTCTTAACTGACACTTAAGGGGACACACAATCGAAACTCTGTTTCTTCCATTGCCTTTTTGCATGGTACTCAAGAAGTGGCAAGAGCTGGAAGGCTAAAGAAATACCGATGACCTCTAGGGCAGAAGGTCAGGGAGTGAGGCCAGCATGCCTGTCAACTTAATTTGAGTTTTGCCAGCCTAAGATTTGCGTTTCTGAAACCGCAGGGTGGGCCTCCCAGAGGCAGCTGATCAGCCTCCCTCCTCATCTGCTTCAGGCAAAAGCTTCCCTGGTAGGGCGGGGGGCGGGGAGGGAGAGGAGGGCTGGTTCCCAAGGGAAAGAGATCAGGATGGGCCTCCCTCCTGCCTGTCAGCTTTCTGCCCTTTCCAGCTGGGGATTGGAACCAGATCAGCCTCAAGGTCCTTTGCAAAGCTGAAAGGCACTTTCTTTGCGTTCTTTCTTTTTGTAATTTGACTTGGAAGTTTTCCTATGAGAACTAGTTTGTGAGAGGGAAGGAGCAGCCTGTCCCAATAAAAGGCAGGATGGAAAGGGGCGGGGGGGCTGAAGCTGCATCTGAAGGAACCCAAGAGTTCAAGGGCCTGGCCCACCTTCTGTGCTATAGAGGCTGAAGCATTTGCAACTTTTTTAGTTTCAGAAAAGTGTGACTGCAGGGGGGAAGAATGTGATTAGAGACCAGTGGAATGGAGGGGGGGGGAGTTTTCCCCCTCTTTTCCTTTCCTCCTTCCCCTCCCCTAGGAATCATGGGCTGAAGATGAAGGACTGACTCAGGACCTTCTGCAATGAACTCATGACATTAAGTGCCACAAGAAGTAGACTCTGTTCTTAAAGGGGATGAGCCAGATTCATAGTTCTCCAATAGCTGCCATCTTATTAAAAAAGCAGTTGCAGGATCACAGACTACAGCACTAATGTGCAAGGGCCATACTGGCTCCTGTCCAACACATCTGGAAGAGGATACTAGGGTAGGGAAGAGGTGGTTGGTTGAGATCTGGCACGTCTCTCCAGACGTTGTTCATGGACTTCCCCTCTGCTTCCAAGTATCATAAGGTACGGTGCAAATAGCTGTCTTTTAGGCTGCATTGAAATACTTTAAATGCTACTAATGGTCCTGTCTGCACCTGTCTTTTCAAAGAGTTCAGCACCTCTCAGAACTCAGCAGTGAACAACTTGATTCCCATTACCCTTTTGGTTTGAATCACAACCATTTGCTACTGTCCTTGATTTTGGCCAGTCCTGTGAAGACTGCAGTAGCTGCTGTGAAGTTTGTTTGCCCCCTGGTATTTCTATACAGAGGAGCAGGTTTTTTTCACACCCCGCCGGACAAAATCTGTGAAGGTTGCATTGCCTTTCCTTTGTCTAAGTTGAATGAGAGTTTTGATTCCTTTCTCTCCCTTTTTATCATTCAGTTGCGCAGCAAGAAGGAAGCCCATCGGCAGGCTGTGATTGACACCAGCCTGGAACAGGCCCCCTCGTACACAAGCAAACATCGAAGGTCAGCAGGGAGACCAGATTATTATTCAATATTGTAGCATTACGGAAAATGCCAGATCTTCAGCTCTGCTTAACTCCCCAGCCTCAACCTTTGCTTTCATACGCTTATGTTTGAAGGATTTTAATCTAGACTTTTCTGCCCCTGGGATCAGATGTGTGAAATCAGACCATCATTCCTCCAACAAACCTAAGTGGCAAAACAGGTTTGGAGAGAGAAGTCTTTATTTGGTGTACAGCAAGTTTGACAAGTGTTTGCTACAGAAATGTTTATGGTTTGAAATTGCAGCTGTCAGATTGTTTTCTCTGACTGTTTATGGTTACATGTTGAGCCTGTACAAATTACAAGGGCCTGTTGTCAGGAAAGGAAGCCTCCTAGCAAGGACTGTCTGCTATCATGCTTGGAGAGGGATTTAGTTAGGCACTTGCTGGGACATCACTGAGGCAGTTTGGGATTTGTATGCAGATTTTTGGCCAACTTGTGCATGTTGAAACATGGGAATAGTGTGCCCGTTTTCTCATATGGCTTCTATTATAGGAACCATTGTAAAGGCATGTAAGTGTTCCTTTACCATCACAGTTGGAGGTACATATGTGATGTTATTGCTCTTGTCCTTTCACATATGTGGCATTTCCAGCATTGAGCACACATGAATACAGGTAGTCCTTGGTTAATGATGGCAGTTGAGACCGGAATTTCCATCGCTAAGCAACGCAGTTGTAAAGTGTGATGTCACATGACTGCACCGCTTAGCAATGGAAATTCTGGCACTTTGGTTACCATTGTAAAGTGAATCGCCACAGGTCATTAAGCAAGGATGTCATGTGGTTGCCATTTGCAACCTCCTGCCGGCTTCCCCATCAACTTTGCTTGTAGGAAGGTGGCAAAGTAGCAAATGGTGATCACATGACTATGGGATGCTGCAATGTTGTAATTGCAAGCCAGGCACTGAGCGCCTGGATTGCAATCACATGACTATGGGGATACTGTGAAGGATGTAAGTATGAGAACCAGTCGTAACTATCACTCGTTCAGCACTGTCATAAGTTTGAACAGTCACTGAATGAGTGGTTGTTAAATGAGGACCACCTGTGTGAGCTTAGACCTAGACTGGTTAGCAGCATCTTAAATAGTCTAAAATCCATATTACAAGATAAACGGTATATTATCTCAAGGACAGTGATTCATATCATAGCAATAGGAGTTGGGCGGCTAATACATAGGTATGTATGTATGTATGTATGTATGTATGTATGTATGTATAAATAAATCAACCAACCAGCTTGAACCCAGTGTTAAATAGGAAAATGGAAGCAGGTAGAACCAGGGATGGTTAAGTGGCTTGGAATTGTTATCCTGCCATGTTCTTTAGTTTGGCCTAAGTACATACATAACTGATTTTGTGACATATGTCTCTGGTGGGGTAAGCCAGATCTTTTCAGCTTCTTCCACCCATCTCTTGCTCTGATTCTCCTAGGAGCTCTGTATGTCGCATGAGCAGCAAAGAAAAGATTTCTGTCCAAGACCAGTCAAAGGAGCGGAAGACCTTGGGTACCATTGCTGTTGGCGAGGAGGAGACCAGTTCGGCTTCAGAGGGGGACGAAACACCAGAGACTAATGGTGAGTGGAGCTACGCAGCAGCCAGGACCCTCATCAGCTCAAACAGGCCATAATGGATTGATCTCTAATTGCTTCCTGTCTCTTGCAGAAGTGAAGGCTCTTCCCCCAGCAGACAGCAGTGCAGTGAATGGAGTTTCTGTGACTCCCATTAGGCCTCTGTCCCCTTGTCCTGTTGGGCAAAAGGTAAGGCAAGTCATTGTGGTGGCAAAGGAAGTCAGGTGTTTTTGAGTTTCCTCTCTCCATTGTCCTAATTTCCTTCTCAGGTTGCGGGTCCAGATATGATCATTACCAGTACTGTCATGTAGTTGAAACCCAACTCCTGCATCCACTGTCTAAACAACCTTTACCGGAGCTCGAGACAGAGGATGACAAATGCTTGAACGGCCCCAGGCACTTTATCATCTCAGCTCATTCATGCCACTTAATATGGGACTGCAGCTGCTAGTCTCAAAGGAGTACTCATGTGCCCTGAACAGCAGAATACAGCAGAAAACAGCAGCAGAATAATACTGGATTGTACCATTTCAGAGTACAAGTAGAGGAATTTCATTTGTAACATTTCTGTCCCAAAAAACTTTCTTCAAGTAGAAAACTAGCACAGCTGAGGCTAGCGAGGCCTAAATATTGTGCCTCGGCTGGTTAGGTTCGATGAGTCATGTAACTTTCAATTACTTAGCAAAGTTTCTATTGAGAAGTCATTAGAGAAGTAAACTCTTAATTTCTACAGAAGAAGTAGGAAATGAAAGCGAGGAGATCTTAGTCCTGCACTTGGTGTGGCCCACCTCTAAGGAAAGAATAAATTTCCCCTTAGAAATGTCACCTTTTCTTCTCTTCCAGCTGTCCATCAGTTCTTTGTGGTTATTTGCTCTTCTGCAGGAAGCATGTGATGAATTCATTTTAATGCATTTTTTCTGAGCTTGCTCAACAGCTTCATCTATCATGCTTGATTAACCCTTTATTGCTTGCATCTGACTTTTCTCCTGCTTGGGATACTGACCCAAGCAAGTCTAGGAACTGCATTTGCAAAGAGGACTTCTCATTCCTCTGGCTGGACCTCACCTGCACCTCTTCTCCATTCTGCTGCGTGTCATCTCTGTCTGTGCTGTATGAAATACTTTGAACATTTGTTTTCTTTTCCTCTTTCCCCTCTTCTGACATTTCTTCCTACGTCATCTATCCACTGCACCTCCTCCTCCTCCTCGCTTTCTCATTCCACCTGCCTGCTCCAGCCACGGTTTGTCTTCATTTTGCCTCTGCTGCCCATCCCAAGCCCTCTGGGGCCTTCCATGTGGAGACAAGGCTTGCGCAAAACAGGGATCATACTGGTGCCCCAGAAGGGACAAAAGGCTGCCGTGAGTGTCCTACATAAGTGAATGAAGAGGAAGCCAAAGGGGTGTGTCTTTGCATGGTTTTCTCCAGGAAGCCCAAAGTAGGGCTTAACATCTCTTAATCTGCAAGAGAGCTGTTTATAATTGAGTCAGTCATTGACTGTGAATTGAGAGAGACTTCTTCACAGGAACCCCTGCCTGCTGTTCTCTTGGCTGTTCATCCTTCTGATGTTTGCAGGGATTCAGCTGCTTTGTTCCTTAGTGCTCTCAAGTGTGGTGTGTGTGTGCGCGCACATGCGTGTGTGTGTGTGTGTGTATGATTAAGGGAAAGCATTGACTCTGTACATGCCCGTTGTGGGAAGATTCTGAAAGCATCTCCTGGCTACTGTGTGAAACAGGCTGCAGGGTTGTTGATATTCTGTAGTTCCCTCTCCGTGCACTGTGGGGAGCTGTGTTTTTGTTTGTCTGTGTGTATAAGAATGCTAGCATTTAGGAGGAGAAAGTGGTTTAGCAGCCTAAAGATGCCCAAGGGAGGAAATGAAGAGGGCCACTGAGATTGTAAGCTATTGGGGTCAAGTGGTACTTCGGTAAGAAAACTGGCCCGTGGGCTGCAAGAGCCAGCCTGAGTTCTGAAGTCAAAAGCAGTTTGTCCCTTTCCTGACAGATAGGGAGGAGAGAGAGGAAAAAGTGTGTTACAAAGAACACAACTGGGGAAGGGGGAGGACGAAGAGGGAAGAGAAGAAAGCATGTTGGTCCCACCTACTACTTGCCATTGGCATGATTGTGGGTCTCCTCCAGCATTACTTCTGAAGGAATGTAGCCCTTGATGGGGCAGGGGGGTGAGGGGAGGAAGATTGCCTGCTCCATTGAAAGCTATCCAGATACAGTGAGCCATAGGGCTGGGCTGCAGTGTCTGTGTGGAGCAGAGAATGAAAGCCCATCAGCCAAGTCAAAGGTTTTCCAGTCGAGAGGCTGGGAAATGCAGCAGAGGTGATTTTCTGAAACTTCCTGAAAGGTGTGGTGCAAAGAGGCCGCTTTCCAAGTCCTGCTTGCCTGCTGCTCCCTCTGCCCTGATGGCATTTTGAAATTCTGTGCTGGCTCTGATTCTGGGCAGCCCTTCTCATCACAAGCATTAGCTCTTCCATTTTGGAATTTGCATTGGGAAGGACTTCGTGATGGGATGAGAGGAACAGGCAGCCTTGTCTTGGAGAAACTCTGGACTGTCAGAAGTGGGAGGGGGCCTCTGTCAGGCTTTGGGGGCAGCCTTGAGGGTCTCAGTAGGCACCGTTCCCTCATGCTGTGTTTGTATTTGGGAAACCCTGCCTGATACGTTGCTTGCTGACAGTCCCAGAACGGTTTGCTTCTAACCCATATTTTAAGCAGCTACTTATTCACTAGAGCGATTCCCCCATTATTTCCCCCTTCATTTGTTTATTTATACATCCAATAATTTCCACAGTGCCCAAAGGGACTTGAAGCAGTTGACAGTGCAATAAAAATGACAAAACCATCAACAGATCTTATCTAGCTAAGGCACCCAGGACCTATCGGCACCCATACCTTCTGCCGAATATAAAGGATTTTAAGGCTTTCCTGAATCTAGAGGCATATTTTAAGAGAGATTTTTCCAGGTTTCTAGGAAGAGCTACTTTGGGAAGACTGCAGTCCTGGCTCCTCTCACCTGAGCTACAGTTCAGCCTCAAGGCCTCCTTCTGTGCTAAGGCTTGCTGTGGAACATCTGAGGATGTTCCAGATAGCTTTTCTACAGTAACCTCTGAAAACCTCCAGATGATAGAAAGGGGTTTTCTGGCAAGGGTGACCTTGGGTGGCTTTGACTTTTTCCCACACCATCTCATATGGAGAAATGAATCAGAGCTTCTAGCTAGCTGACTGTGGAAGTACATCTGTTCTTGCCTTGAAAGCCAACCAGTTCTGTTTCTTCTCAGGTTGGCACCCAAAGTTTTATGCTGCCACAGCACTGCCTCTTCTGTAATTTCTCAAGAGAGAGAAAAAGAAATTAAGTTGTCATGCTATTACCGAGTTAAGGGTCATAGCTCTGATGTATCTAAGTGCCAAAACTGGAGTCTTGGGATTGCTTGTTCTCTTAAGGAATCCTCAGTTACTATGCAGGTCTTGAATTCCTTGGTCTAGCCCAGCCTGGTTATCCCCCTTGTTCCTTCCAGCTCCATTCTTCCAAGTAAAAATCCCCTTCATCCATCCTGACTCCCTTTCCTTCCTTTTCTCTCTGCTTTCTCTGTTTGTCCCCTTCTGTTCTACCCCTCCCCTTCTGTTCCTACCCAGCAGTTCTCCGGAGGTTCCAGTCGCACCATGGAGCCAGGGAGTTTGCCAGCTCCAGCCACGTGGAGACAGAGTCTGCGCAAAACAAGCAGCTTTGGTGTATTGCAGGATGCCAAGCTGGATGAAGGGGTATCCAAGGGGGGCAGCGGCATCAAGCGCTCAGCATCCAGTCCTCGGCTTGATATAGAGGAAAAGGTGAGTTGGGCAGAGGCAAAGTTTGTTGAGGCAAGCCAGCCTCCCCCTTAGGTTAAAGTGTATCATTCATCTTGGGGTAGATTCTGAGAGTTGGCAGTAGCCATGTGTTGTAGGAAACACCTTTGTAACACACAGCCTGCCCTGCACCCCTAAGCTAACCTGCTGCATCCCGGTGTAGTGGAGGGTGGCAGCAAGAAATAGGAAAGTCTTGGACTGCTCTGCCTTCATACAGGGAACAGGAGAGGATTGCCAGCTGTTCTCTTCCCCAGTCAGCACAGGATCTGGATCTGGCCCTCATGCCAAAAGGTGTTTGAACAGTGGCCTTCTTTGTGTATCTGAATCCAGTTAGGGGAGGATCCTTCAGTTTGCAGTGAAGGTTAGTAGAAGGATCAGGTTTATATTTGACAGTTGTGGTCTCTGTTTCATCCCCCCCCCCGCAATCAGTTGTTCAATTAGATGGCCTCCTTATGAATGTTAATTTACAATTTAAAATTGTGATAAGATCAAAGGAAACCTATAAATAGGCCAAACAAGCCCACAATAGCAGCTGAAAAGCTAAAGCAGCTCCAGATTTTATCTCACCATTGTGGGCAAAAAAGACAAGATTTAACCTGACCCTTAAAAACGATCAGGTAGACATCAGTTGGGTGGTGGTTGGGGAGAGTATTTCATAATGGAGGCAGCTCTGAAAAAGGAGCTGCCCAGAGTAAGGCACCAGCAGATGACCTCAATTTTCAGACAAGATAAGTAGACTGTTGGGGATCCTAGGCTGAATTTTATGCAAGCCAGTCATTTTGTAATGATGGTTTTGGGTATGTAATGGAACATCAAATACTTTCTGGTTTGTCTTCTTCCACCAGTTTTGGTAAGAGTGAGCTTCTGGCACTTATTCTTGAAAACCCATGAACAGCAGTTGGAGAAAAGTTGAGATCTTTCGGGAGGAGGAGGACAAGTTGGTCTTTTAGGGTAGAGCACTTCCGTGTCTAATGGATGCAGAGTAAATTGATGGGACACAAGCTGACAGTGAGGTGCTGTAGCTCAGTGGCAGAGCAGATCTTTTGCACGTGGGTAGTATTTGGCATTTCCACTATTAAAAAAGACGACATTGAGTAGCAGGACCTTTCTGATCTTTGGAAAGCTTCTGCAGCATAGAGGAGACAATATTGACTAGGTCACAGATAAGTAATCTTCAGCCTTCTAGAATTTTCTTAGTGACTGTCCAAGGAGTGGCTAGGTGTCTTAAAAAAAAAAGAAACAACTCTGAGCAAAATAGGTGCAGTTAAACCAATAGACTGAACACACTTGAATAAAGGGCTGAAAAATTGCCCCTGCTCCTTCTAGGGACAATACCCTGTCATTGCCATAGCCTTAGGTCCTCCAGCTGCACAAGATTGCCCAGTCCTGGCTTAGACGGAATGGACCGAGACTGGAACAGTTGAAACCATTTGTTCTAAGGTCAGGATGGATTATTTCAGGATGGGAAAGTTCAGTGATGCCATATTTTGCCTGCCTCTCTTTGTGAACTGTGAACTGCTCAGAGAGTTTCTCTGAGCCCGTGCCAAACACTGCTGCCTTGTGCTGCATTTGCAAGAGCCAGCCTTTTATTTCTGAAGGCTTAAGCGGACACAGATTTGGTCAGGTTCAGATCGTCTTTGATTCTTGTATTTTTCATGATACAAAACAAAGAGGAGGGATCCCTGTTGTTGAGGAAGAAGAAGAATCTCAGTTTCGTGTTTAGCACTTTTTGTAGAAAGGAGGACACTTTACTTTCTTTCTCCTCTGCTTCTTTCTTTCTTTCTTACTTCAGATCTAGCAGCTTTGCAGCATCTGTTGGCTCTAGTGTGGGTTGTTTCACTTCAGTGGGGTGGCTTTTCAGAATGGGGTTTCAAGGCATGAATTTTGCCACCAGTATGCTGTGCCCTCTTTTTCTTTTCTTTCTCCTTCCGTCCCTCTCCACTCCGATCCTGTCATTGCCTATATTATCTGCAGCAAGACATCCAGGAGCTCTTGCAGAAGTGGAGCAAGAATCCCATTGGCCCATGGTTAGCCAATAGGAACACAGCTTCTGAGCCACCTGGTGACCCGGTAGGAGCCTCTACCCATCAGAGAGGGTGGCTGAATACCTTGCTTGCTAGCTTTGCTTTATTTGGGGGGTAGTGTGGAGGGGGGGCTTAGCTTGAGAGCCATGGGGGTATATGGGGAAATGGACACCTGTGGGCACCAACAGCCTCTGGTGAGAGTCACCTGTGGTCCAGGATTCAACTGGAGGTCCTTTTGTTTCTGTTCTTTTGCCTGGTTTTCCTTTCATCTCTACTTTTTCCCCACTCTTTTATTTTGTTTAGCTTTTTCCTTGTTCTCTCTGGGCCACAGCTACCCTGTTAGATGAGCAATGTTGAAGCTTTTTGTATCTTTTCTTCTCCACTCCTTGGTAAAGCAGTTCCACTGGTATTGAGGGAGAGGTGCTCAGTCAGTGTCTGCAGCAGTGGGCCCCCAAGCGTCCCCAATCTCCGGCTGGCTTCTGAGCTGCCCCCACTCCAGCTAGAATAGGAAATTAACAGTGGAGCAGCTGTCAATCATGTTTGTATTTTCTTTCCTTTTCTTTTCCAGAACAAAGAGCCACGCCTGGCACGGGTAACCCCAACCCCCACTCGCCGGATATTTGCCCTCCCAGACACAGAACCCCACCGGGATCCCCGGCGCACGTGAGTAATCTACCGTGGATAAGCTAAAATAGCATGAGTCCCCTATTGTGGGGGAGATGGGCGGGGGAGAAATCAAATAAATAAATAAATAAATAAATAAATAAATAAATAAATA